GGGGCCGCCTGTCCGTCTGTCCGTCCCTCCATCCCTGCCTGTCTGTCTGTCTGGGTTGGACGCTCAGACACCCGTCGGAGGGAGGAGGAAGAGAGGGGGAAAAGACAGGGGATGGGGCTGGAGACCCTGGAGTCCGGGCAGCGGGCGGGACCTAGCCTCCCCGCCCCCAAATTGGGAGAGTGGGGACTGCATCGCCTCTGCTGGGGCCTCGTGAGATGCATAGGCCCCATCCTCTATACCCCTTCCCCAAAGAAAATCCTTCTGGGCGCCAAATATGTGTTAAGCCCAGGTCCGAGTACTTTGCATGCATTGTCTTCTTGCAGCTTGGGAGAAAGGGGGTGATAGTCCCCGTTTTATAGAGAAAGAAACTGAGGCTTAGAGCAAGAGACTTACCCAAGGTCACACAGCCAGGATCCAAACATGCCCCCTCTGGGCCCCCCTACCAGGGCTCCATCTTCCCCAAGTCCTGGTGTGCTTGGAGATCTCCGGAGGTACCCAAGGTCACACAGCCAGGATCCAAACATGCCCCCTATGGGCCCCCCTACCAGGGCTCCATCTTCCCCAAGTCCTGGTGTGCTTGGAGATCTCCGGAGGGGGCGAGGTGGGGGAAGGGGTTCTTAGGGCCTCCTGAGGGAGGGATCACTGCTCACTGAGAGGAAGCTCAGTTTCTGAGGATCCTACCAAGATCTTGACTCTCCGGTGACACTTCTTTCCTACCTGGTCCCAGCCCTCCTTAAGCCGAGAGGAAGTAGCAGCACCAGGGTCTGACTTCTAGACTCTCTGGGTGCCCTAATGGTGGAAGATGAGCAGAGGTCTCCAGAATAACTTGAAAAGGCACCATCTCTCTCTCCCTCTTCATGTCATTCCTTGAGACTCCCAACCTCCTCCCGGGTGTCCCTCACTGTCTCCCGCCCGCCACATCTCTGTGACTTTCTGTGTCTGCTTCTCTTCCTTAAGCTGTCTTTCTGTCTCTGTCTCTGCGTTCCTCTGCATCGATTTCCCTGGTCTTCCCTTCTTACATTTCTGCACCTCTCTCTCTTCCTGCCCCGCGTCTCAGTCTCTCTCTTCCCCTCCCCCAGCCCGCAGACCTTAGCTCCACTTGCAGATCCCATCCCCAAGCCTGTGTGTGGTCAGAGCTTCCCGTTTGGGGAAACCTGAGCCGAGGCTGCGGGGGAGGGGGCTCTCCTCGTTGCTGACCTCGACTGCCCCCTCCCCAGATGGGGAGTGGGGAGGAGAACCGAAGCCAGACTGCGGGGCTGCACGCCAGCCCCTCCCCCTCTCAGGAGTGGGACCCTGCACATTCTTCTCTGGAAACAGAAACAGCTGTGGGAGGCCCCACCCCCTCCCAAAGTTAAAGACGGAGTGTGGGGGCCTTCACCAGCTCCCCCCACCCCAAGCAGGCTGGGCTTGGGAATGCACCTCCCAACCCGACCGGGAGAGAGAGCGAGGCGTGAAGATGGGTTAGCCTGTCCTTCCCCGCTCTGCCCCCAGTCTCCCCGTCTCCTTGGCCCCCACCTTCCTCATCTCTGCCCTTCAGTGTCCCTCTTCTCTGACCCTCTGTCTCCCCCTCTTCCCAGCCTTCTGTCCTCCTGGCCAGCATAGGATGGTAGTGGAGAGGCCTCTTCCCCCCTCCACACCAGTCTCCAGGCAAAGCTGGTCCCAGCGTCAGGGAGGAGGCGGTGGCAGGCGGGGGGAGGGAGACAGCAGCACGGAAGGAGGAGCAGAGAAGCGCTAAATATAAACTTCTTTAGTGTCGGGGGTTCCTGGGTCTTCTGAAGAGGGGGTGGGGACCTCCTCTGATCCCTGAGCCTCTGTCTCATGAGGCTTACCCCCCATCCTCGCCCCCACCCAGGAGTACACTCCCTCTGAAGCAAGAAAGACAGAAGCCAGACTTGATTACTTTCTAATAAGAATGGTGGGGGTGCCAGGTAAAGACTATTGCAGAGAAGAGTGGCAAGAATCCTGGGTGGAGGCGGGGGTTCCCTAGGTCCTCTTTGCTCCCAAGAAGGAAAAAGATCCCTTTCAGCAAGATGGACTTAAGTTAGACTTGGAGAAGGACTTTCTAACAAAGATATGAGGGCATTAGACATTGTCTAGGGGCATATGAGGAGAGTAAAAAAGATCTGGGCAAGTCTGGGCAAACAGGTCTCCACGGGTTCTAACCACATTCTTGTTAAGCCTCCCTGAGCTGGATGGCCCGACTGTAGAGGGGCTTGCAATGAAAGGATAAGGGGCATTGTGGGGAGACAGGGAGCCAGATTCAGGCCAAAGATCTTCTGGTCTTTTAAAGATTCATCCTTTTGCAGCTGGAAGAAATGAGGTCAGACTTGCAAATAGGGGTTGTAGCCTGGGGGGGGAGGGGGATATTTGAGAGGGTCTGGGCATGGGGGAGGAGGAGGCATCTCTTGTCTGTCCCCCTAAGCTCTTCCCTGTAGTGGAAGAACTGAAATTAGACCTGCAGAACTTACAAAAAAATTCCATCCTTTTACATTTATTTTTAATTATACAAGTAAAACATTTCTATTTTCCTTGTAAGAAATCCATCGCTCTCATGTACATAATAATACAAGCTAGCATTTATGAAGTGCTTAAAAGAAACTGCTGTTTTAACTCATTTACTTAAAAAAAAAAATTTTTTTAAAGATGACCGGTAAGGGGATCTTAACCCTTGGCTTGGTATTGTCAGCATCACGCTCAGCCAGTGAGCAAACCAGCCATGCCTATGTGGGATCCGAACCCGTGGCCTTGGTGTTATCAGCACCGCACTCTCCCAAGTGAGCAACGGGCCAGCCCCTTGTTTTAACTCATTTAATCCTCACAACAATCCCACAAGAGCTGGAGTCCTATGATGCCCATGTTACAGAAGAAAAAACAGACCCAGAGATGTGAAGTCACCCACCTAAGGTCACACAGCTGGGAGGTGGCAGAGCTGAATTTGAACCCTGGCAATTTGTTGCCAAGTCATGCCTCCTTTTTTTTTTTTTTTTTTTTTTAAAGATGACCGGTAAGGGGATCTTAACCCTTGGCTTGGTGTTGTCAGCACCACGCTCAGCCAGTGAGCAAACCGGCCATCCCTATATGGGATCCGAACCCGGGGCCTTGGTGTTATCAGCACCGCACTCTCCCGAGTGAGCCACGGGCCGGCCCAAGTCATGCCTCCTTAAACACATCATTCTACCATGCAGTCTCTCCATCCTTCCCTTGACCACCTAAATCCAGTCTCCCCGACATCACCACTATTGTCACCTTCGTATGAGTCCCTCCAGACCCCTTCCAATATATCTACTCACAGAAACAGTTTACATACCAAGAAATGTAGAGTTTTCAAAAAAGCTTTGCTTTTTACAAATTCCAGTTTCTTGGGTGAGGTCCCAGAGACTAGGCTAGGCCAGTAGTTCTCAAACTGTGGCCCTTTGACCAGAAGCGCCACATCACACGGATCTTGTCAGAAATGCAAATTCTTGGACCTGACTCCAGACTGGAATCAGACTCTCTGGAAGTGGGACTAAATAATGTGGGTTTTAATAAGCCCTCCCAGTAATTCTGACTCACGCTCATGCTATATACACATTCTGTACTTTTCTCTTTCTGCTCATTGCTATATCTTGGTGATGTTTCCACACAGAAATTTCAGGCTGGCCTTAGCTCAGTTGACTAGAGCACATCCTTATAACACTAAGGTTCATGGGTGGGCATCCCCACACCAGCCAGTGCCAAAAAAAAAAAAAAATTTTGCTTGATTCCATTTTAACAGCTGTATAAGTATTCCACTGCAGACATTCATTCCTTTATCAAATATTTCCTCAGCACCTACTTTGTGCCAGGCACTGTTCAGGCACTCGGGTGGGAAGTGCAACCTTTAACAAAACAGACACAAGTCTCTGCCCTCCTAGGGCTGACATTCTAGTGAGAGAGACAATAAAGAAATGACACTTTGATATACAATTCTAATTCAAGAGGTCCTTACTGCTATAAAGCATAGCAATGGGGTGAAGAATGACAGGGAAGTTATTTTGGAAAAGTGTCAGATAAGTGATCATGTAACCAAAGACCTGACTGCAGCAAGTGTGTGAGCCAGTAGGACATGTGGGGGAAACATTCTCCTGAGGTGGGAGCATGCATGGCATGTTCGAGAGAAAGCAAGGAGGCCGGCACGGTGAGAGTGGAGTGAGCAAGCCCGTGGTTTGTTGGGGGGCATGACATGGAGTCTGTGTATGGTCTGCGATTTTTTTGGCCACTCCCTGATGCTGCACTATGCAGCTGCTTTTTTGAGTTCTGCTCAAAGATGACTCCACCATGAGCATCTCTACATACCCAGGGCAGGAGCACAAACTGGAGTGATTTGTTGACCTTCCTTGCATAAACAGGCCCAGATGGGGGCTTCTGTTCTGGGGGAAAGGGAGAGGACAGGGTCCAAAAGAGGAGTCGGACGAGTCAGAAGCTGGGGCGGTGGGGAGGGAGGAGTTTGAGGCTCGGAGAGCCGGCCAGCTTTTCTTTCTGCCCTAAATAGGCAGGGCTGGGTGCCTGCCCTCCCACCCCCTCCTCCCTCCTTCCTTCCCTCCTGCCGTCCAGACAAGCTGCTTTTGTCTGAGGGTCAACCGTCAGACTGAGGCTGCCACTACCTCCGGCCCCACTCAGACCCGTGTGAGACTTTTCCTGGCTCTGGCCCTCAGTTTTCCAAAGCGAGGTTAAGTCCTAGTGTCTTGGAGACCCCATCTGTGTTGTTTCAACCCCTACTCCCACCCCTGTCATGGTCATTTCCCTAAAGGGGTTCTCACCTTCATTTATTCATTAAAAAAAAAAAAATCCGATATAAAGATGACCAGTAAGGGGATCTCAACACTTGACGTGGTGTTGTCTGCACCACACTCAGCCAGTGAGCGAACCGGCCATCCCTATATGGGATCCGAACCCGTGGCCTTGGTGTTATCAGCACCGCACTCTCCTGAGTGAGCCACAGGCCGGCCCTATTCATTTATTCATATCATTCTGATAAGAAATGGTCTTTTCCTACATCAAGAAAGATCCAGGGTAGACTCACAGAAATTTCCCATGGGGATGAGGAGCGGTGGACAGACACTGGGGGCTTTTGATGGGAATGGAGCAAGGGCAGGAGGAAGTGGTGGTCCCTGGGGTAAAGGATCGCTGCTGCAGTATCTGTAAGGCTAGTCTCATAGAGAACTTTCCAGGAGGCATAGGGGGATCAAAGAGGTATATGGGTCATGGTCAGCCTATTTTATCCATATGAGGGAAAAAGTCAGTGTGCAGTGGGAAGGGCTTAAGGAGGGCTTGGGAAAGGACTTTCTATTGGTGATAAGGGGGAATGGGGGAAGATGGGAGCATCTGAGAAAGGAGGGTCAAAGACTGGGAGAAGGCAGACCCATGGCTGAGGGATCTGCTGGGTCCTGGACACCACCTTTTAGCTGTGGACTGTCCTTACAGCAAGAAGACCTGAAGTTAGATTCAAAGAGGGACGTTTTAATAGGGAGTAAAAGGCCATGAGACAAATGGGGGGGGGGGG